ATGGCCTCCAACCTAATAGCGAGGGGACTTTGGGATTGAAGAGATTTGAGACTTTGAGAGACTACTTAACCCGATAGCTTCCAACCTAATAGCGATGGCCTCCAACCTAATAGCGATAGCCTCCAACCCATTAGCGATGGGCTCCAACTTACTAGCGATGGCCTGCTTAATAGCGATGGCCTCCAACCTAATAGCGATGGCCTCCAACCTACTAGCGATGGCTAATAGCGAGGGGACTTTGGGATTGAAGAGACTTGAGACTTTGATACTTTTTCAGCTGAAGAATTTGAGGTCTATTTTGCAACACCTCAGCACTCGCCGTCTCGTTGCAGTCTGTCACCCCCGCATTCTTTGAAACAGCACGCATCCTGCTGTTCCACTCCAAGAGCAAAACACTGAAAACGTTGCCATACTCCTTTGCCTTTGCTCCGTGTTTGCCGACGAATCCTACCAGTTCCCTGCATAACAGGCAATCGTGGCCCAATAGTGGGCCTTGGAAAGGCTGCTCTCTTGGATGCGGCCCTGTCCTTGGTTGCTACTGATTGGTCCCATTAAAACAAGACCTATGAGAAAATCTCAACAATAAATAATAAAGAGTTTAGGTCCCGAGGTCCTTTGGGTCCTTTGGGCTTGAATGCCACTCGAAGTCACTACTCATAGCGACACACAACAAAGAAAAAACCATGTCTTTTTCATGTTTGCATTCAACAAAGTTATGTCCTTTTCGTTTCTTCCGCTTAAAGGCCTCAGGTCTTGAACTTGACACTAGTGACTGCTCTCAAGAAAGATAGTTTAGACACATATCACTTGTTTATTTTCGTGGCGGGGTTTGGCCATATGGATGTGGCTAAAGAGTAGGTAACTGATGCAGTAAAAAAGTAAAAGTACAGAGAGGTAAGTATAGTACTAGCTATTTAGTAGGCTGCTACTAACCAGGCTTGGACGCAGAAGAGCTCAGGCTTCCTTGAAGAAGCCCTCACATGATTGATTTGGTTCCTAGGTTTTCGGGAAACTTATTGTAACATCGTCTTCTCTTTGTCTTCTCAAGAACGTGAGGTTCATCGCACAGCTGCACTGCACATGCAGATGCGCTGTGTTGGCGTTCGTATTGGAGCAGATATCAAGGTGTCGTTGGCAACGTGCAATCTGATACATTCAAGACCCAACGGACCCAACACTTTAAATCTTAAAGAAAGCATTCTTCATCACTGGCATTCCCATTTGTCACGTTTCAAAACTACCCCTCTGGTATATCCCCCAGCAACATTTTGTGGCCAGTAGGACTGTACATCATGGCTTTTGGCTGTGCGATCGGCAGAACCTTGGCAATAATACAGGGCTTCCTTTCCTTTTCTGTGAATTTTCTTTGCCTCCCTGTAGACATTGGAATTTTGGCCCCACTCATCAAAGGTGCAGTTGGCCTTGGCAGAGGAGGCCTACCTTCTCAAACTCAACTCATTTATCAGTCTATGTGCTGATGGGCCCATTCGAACATTTCCCAGGACTGGCTCGGCTCAGCACGCAAAGGTTGCTTCCAGCCAAGGTTCCCTGGGTGTTGCTGATATGTGCAATAGGTGCTGTTTTGATTCAGCTTTGTGAGTGATCAGGTCGGGTGGTGCACGGCGAAAGTGCTTGCCTCGAAGGCCACCGAAAACTCAAGCGCGTCAAGTTCTGGGAAGAAAACTGTTGGGATTGGATAAAGCAGCCACAGACTGTGCAGGACTCTGCGGAAGGCACAGCAGGACACCAACAGCCAGATTTGCAATTTCTTGTTTCTGATGGTACATATTAAATCAAATTTCATTGTCCGAGTGCAAATTCTCGAGGACCTGTCGATGGAGGAGAGCTGCTTGTTTTGGACATGTCAGACTGCCAGTCGTGCGCCAGTGCTTCCAGTCCGAAGGAGCTGTTGGACTCCTTGTGCCAAGACATCGGTCTTCTCGCATTGCAATGGCACAGGCGGGGGCCGAAGCTTGGTCGAGTCATTAAAGATGTTCAAGCAATTTCATGCCCTCCAGGCGAACTACTGCAGCAGATCTGGCACCGAGCTCAACCAGCAGAGGATCCTAACAGCTGTTATCTCTCCGACGATCAGTTGGATCATTTTCACTCGTTTTCCATCAGTCCGTCGCAGCGCTGAAACAGGATCTATGATGTCCGCGGTCTCTGCCCGCAACAGCGGCCTGCTAAATGCTTCAATCCATGCTAGGGCGGTCAGACAGTCTTTTTTGCTGTGCTGAGGTGGGTGTGACATTCTTCTTATCATTCATGGCTGTGATCAAGTCTTGGAGAGGCTGGGAGAGTAAGTCTTTCGCACTCGCATTTTGTAGCCTCAATCCAGCGAAAGCCTGTGATCTCTTGAAATTAATCAATCATGATGTCAAGGCAGCCTGCTGACATGCAGACTGCACTGTCAACGCTCCTACGCCATTGCCCCGCACGTGTGATATTCAGCTCCAGGCTTGTCAAGCACCGGACATGAAAGCTTAACAGGTGATTTGATCAATTGAAATGACTTGGGGTTAGAGAGAGGACTGCATAGATTGAAAAGATCTAATGAACGATGATGTACTATGTATTGACAGTACATGGTGACAGGTCCCGAGTGTCTGGCCCAGGCTGTGGCCAATTCAAGGCGTGGCAAAGCAGCGGAATGTACCAAGGTATACCAGAAGCTTTGTTGTTTTGCATTGGCGGCCTAATCAGATACGTTTCCCCCAAATCTAGGAACCAAATGAGGAAGCTCCCCCCCGCCCTGAGGCGGGGGAGCTTCCTTGAAGCCTAAGCTTTCCGTCGGGTAGCTAGTAGCTTCCTTTAGCAGCTTAGCTACTTGCTTACTCGGCTTACATGTAAGCTAACACCTTCTAGGACCGGCCTCTCCCCTAATTCTAATTCTTGTTTCTAGTAGCTTCTTGTTCCTGGTAGTAAGGCCCTTGTTCCTAGTAGTACGGCCAGGAGCCACTAGTAGCGTCCTTGCTCCTAAAAACAGTGCTTTTTTGTTTGGTATCTGTAACATCCAAAGTGCCCATGGCCATTACTCCGCTTGTCTTGGGGAATGGATGACGGTACATAGGTCGTGCACTACGAGCTCGGGGGCCTGCAGCCCACTGTGCCTCAGAGCAGTTTTGCACAAAAACACGACTGCACAAATTCTGTAAGACATGTGACATGACATGTGTCTCAGGATGCAGCACGTCTTTTTCTTCGCCGTTCACAGCGGCCATTGAGATGGAAAGAGGCAGACATAGCACGACTCATTGATGAGAGCAAATTGCTGAAAAGAGTTGCCTTCAAGAGCAAGAGACAACATGACACAACTTCACATCTTCCGCTTTGAGGTGCTCTCCGAAAGTCAGACGACCACTGCCAAAGCCGGACGCAGCAGTTGAAAACAGAAAGCCATCCCCCAATGGCCGCAAGTCTTTGGATCAAGTGTTAATTGTGAATCTGCACAGCAGAGAGATCGAGTATTTGCCAACTTGTTTGAGGTGGCAGATGAAAACGCGCCCGTCGTTCTCCAAAAAGATACTGAGAAAGAGGCAAGGCTGCCACCCACAGCTGCTTTTGTGCCAGTTGCATCCAGTTGCTAAGTTCATTGAATTTTCCAAACACGAGAAAAAAGAAGGTAAGGGCATGTAAGGGCCCCTTTAATAAGGCCCTGAAGTTAAAGGGATCTTCTTGAAGGCGCCCTTACCCTTACCTTCTATGTGTAAAAAACTGACCAAAGTTAAGTTTCCCTAAAAACCTAGGAACCAACTCATTATTGCGAGCACCTTTTTCAAGGAAGCTCCCCTTCTTGAAGAAGCGTGAGCTATCCTGCCTCCAGTTACTAGTAGCTTATTCACTTACTTAATTGACATTGAGTCGGTGCCTACTTAATCAAGTAAGAGCGTGCTAAAAACAGCAAGAACCATAGAAGAAACATAGATTCAAGTTTTAAAGGATGTTTCATTTTTCCTGCCTGGAAGGTCCTCAAATTAATCGCCTCGCATCCGGCGGTAGCTCGTTTGAAGGGCGCACCATCAGCCTGGACTTCAGCCTTTCTTCGCGCAGAAAAATAACTAAAACCATCATAAACCATCGAACACTTCTGTGTCTTTCATTGTGAAGTGGGTCTTTCGAGTGGTCTTGCGTTGGCAGTGACAAACTTCAAGACAGTGCATGTGTGTTGAAATGGGTGACTTCAAGGCGTTGATCGAACTTGCCAATGATATGGGGCATCGAACCCTGTCGGATTGTGCTACTGAAGGTGCCATTCTGATGGTTTGGTGGACGTGTTTGTTTTGTAGCAGAGTTTGACTTGTACAATGTGTTTTTGTCACTGTGTCTCTAGGCTACCTTTTGTCAGAGCCTTCACCGAATCTTCCGCAGCGCAGTTGCATTTCTAAGTGTTAGCTCCATATCATTGTCATAGGTAAACTGTCTTGATAGGATGACCCGAATAATTTGATAGTTGATAGTTGAATGGATCAGAATATGTCCATTTCATTTGTCTTGGCAAGCTGGGTCCTGAGGCTACCCGCAGGATGAGCCGGCCGTGGCCTTGTTGCATGTAAGGCTCAAGGCTTGGGTACAAAGCAAGTCGCCTTTTGAGATGACTTCAGTTTCACCAAAGCTTCAGTCTGGACATCTGGGAATGCCCGGAATCTCCATCTTCAGGGCTGTAGAACTGCAGAGTTTTTGTAGGGATGTGTAAAGTGTATAGTGAGGTCGCGTCGGCGCAGCCTTCTATTCGCTTGATTCGTGCAGTTGCTGCCCAGCTTCAAAATCATGAAACATGAGAACAAAGTCACCGCGACACCATAGGAATATGTACTTGAAGCCGGGTGGTGCAAGCTTTTGGGGTGCTGCTTCGATGCTGGCAAAGACAATGGATCCGGGCACACGGGGAAAAGCTCTTCTTGCTTTTGAGCTTGAAGTTGATTCAAACCTAAGTCTTGATACATCGTCCAAGAAAGAGGAAGCAAGGATAATGCAACTGGTGTTGAATTTCCCGCGAGGTGCCGGACTTGGACCAAGGAGAAGTTCTGCTAAAAGTGACTCGACTTTGAGACACTGTTCAGTGAGATCCAGAATAGCCGTAGTTTCTCGCGAACTCCTTGTCCTTTTCTATGTATTCAGATATTGTAGCTGTCAGAGCAGTTTCGAACCACACAAAATGGTATATATAGATGCTTCTTCTTTTTCTGTGGCGACACATTGCCCCTAAGAGCCTTTGCCCTATGCTTGCTATGCAGTCGCGTTTGTCCTGAAACGCAAGGAAGAACACGTTGGCCAGTACTGACACACGCACAAGAAGCAAGATGTGATTGGACTTGCCTATTCAAGGCGGTTGCTTTTAGCCGCGAAGACAGAACATGCACGCAGGTGGAGAAGTTTGCCTTCAGTCACATGGCCTTGGGATATTTGATGAAAGGCACGACGTGAGCATGAACTGCGACTGAGACCTTTGCAGAGCAATACTTTTCGAGAGGCTTCACCCGGACCTTCAGTGCATATCACAATTTTTACAAAGCTTCCGAGGACTCCGTGTCATAGTTGGTTGATTGTTGGGAAGGGTGGACTCCTTGAGTGCGTCTTTGGTGGAACACCTCAGTAAATGACTTGGATGTAGCAATGGCCTCCAACCTAAATGGCCTCCAACCTAAGAGCGATGGCCTTTAACCTAGAAGCGATGGCCAGTATATGACTTGGATGTATCAGGAGAACTTGTACCGATCTGCCTGTTGGGGCTTTGCCACAGTCATGGAGTCAACCCATGACAAGGCCATACGCTGCCGTATGCTTGTTCAGTTCCCAGTTCCAAATCCAAGATTTGCCTTTGCATGCTTTTTTTTCACGGCAATGAAGCAATCTGCTACTTGTAAGATCTTGTAAGTACACATGGTGTCAGCAGCGCGACTGATGCATCTTTTTCTTATTTCCTGGTCCTAGATCATGCTGTTTTGGGTGGATTCAGGCATGTCGATTGGTTTGAGCTTGCCGCGATCGGTCACTGCATTTTTTGGCCAGCATCAAACAAAGCTTGGAGCTCGTCGATTCTCATACAGGCTCGTAGACCCGACTGAGTCCACGTGGCACGTTACGGCACCTGACGTTGTTCTAGGATCCCCACCGGGAGAACTCATGAAGATCAAAGATCGAAACTCTACGCAGAACAAAGCTAATACACTAAAGCCAAGCAGCAACAACCTTTGCCTCCCAGTGTAGTTGCGTCGATGGAGTGATTAGTTCTGAGCTCAGTGATGGGTTCCTTGCAGGGGGCATTGGCCTGTGGCGACCTTGGATGGGTCAGGCCAGAGGCCTGTGATCTCAGCACTTCAGGACCCAACGTCGCACCTTTAGCCTTTTGTTCTCGAGCCGAGATGCGAGAACGCCGGCTGTTTGCACCAATAATTCAGGAGGCACTTCCGACACTCAAAGAATATGCTAGGGGTTTTTGCTCTTACTAGTAGCGGCGGTTTTTCGATGCCGTGTGGGCATGATGAAGCATACCTAGTCATGGTTTGTTCAGGATGCTGGGTCCTGCAAAAGGAATGCCCCTCAAGTATGCTGAAGTTGCCACACCTTCGGGTAGGTTTGACGGTCTTCTGCAGAGTACGCATTGTGGGACACTTTGACTTGTCAGAGGTTTGCATTTGGCCTAAGTGGAGATACAGTAAGTGGAGTGGTCCGGCAGCTTCAGCCATTCATCCCACCCACAAGGCAACATCACACACACACACACACTGTGACAACTGTCGTAATGCTGTGTTGTGGTCGAACCAAATTCTGCAGCTCCTTCTCGCATCCACCAGTTTCTACAAGGCCCGGGCAGCTAAGAGTCAGCACTTCAAGGAGGCTCAGAGCTGATTGCTTTGAGACGTGGAGTACTTGCAGTGAACGAGCGCTTGGAGCAAAGCTACTTAAAGCTTGTCAAAGCTTCAGGCATGCGTGGAGTGACATCACGCCATCGCATCAGGGCTTGTGTCTGGTGCAGCGGGTGGCGTAACTGGAATCCACTTGGTTCAATTTCATAAAACTAATGTTGTTCCAAAACATGACATCAGAATGGTTTCTTGCTATAGCTACTATAGCCCTGTGAGCCGATCTGGAACCCTTGCGCGCTATGAGTGAGCAGTAGAGTTTCACCCCGTGTCTTGGCGTGGCTTTCCCTTTGCCAAGCTGTGAGCAGGTGATGAGCTTGAGACAGTGTCACGGAAAAAGACGACAAAACCATATAAGAAGCTTTCGGGGTTTGACTAGATGCAGTTATGCCCGCCGCACACTAGACGACTTGCTTGAAGACATGTCCGAACAAATCATCCCATTGGCCAGGTTGCTGTGGGAACCAGGCTCTATGGTCTCCTGCCAGCAGCCAGGCATTCAAGAAAGATTTGATTGTGCTTTGCTGCTGTGCAATGAGACTTAGACAGGTACCAGGTTCAGACAGTCGGCAGTGCTCCCAGAGTCACTTCAGAATGGCCCTTCTGCCGCTCGAAGCTTTTTGAAGGTGACACCATTCCTGGCAAAAAGGACGAGCCATCTTGTGCTGGGTGCCCTAACTGGCGAAGGTCCTGGTAAGCGAGTGTCGGTAGGTACTGGGTACGGTATCCTCCAATCAGAGATCAGAGCAGCAACTGCACCAGGCTTTCATTTGATTCCCTAGTTTCCACTCTTCAAAGCTTATCTGAGGTCGAACTTGCCATGGAGGGGGTGCCCTTCAACCTCCGTCGCTTTCAGGAAATGGAGGCATCAGCCCTGGAGCAGCAGTTGCTCAAGCTGTTGTGTGCAAGTAATTAGTGCAGACTTCCAGCTTCCTGAAATGATGTAAGTGACTGCCTTGGCCTTGAAGGTGGTATCTGACTGCATGGAACCACACTTGGAGGCAATGCGAACTATATACTAGAATGCCAAGGTTAAGCTTCCCAAAAAATCTAGGAACCAAATCATAAGTGCACTTCTTCAAGGAAACTCCCTCCGCCCTCAGGCGGGTTGGAGCTTCCTTGAAGAAGCCTGAACTATCCTGTGTTCTGGCTGGGAGCTGCCTATTGCTAGTAGCGTGTTTACTCCCTTACTTAATCGAGTAGGCGCCTACTTAATTAAGTAAGGAGGGCGGCAAGGCAAAAACACATTAATAGAGTTTCAAGCATGCAGGACTGGATCATTTGCACCAAGGCAGGGGGCGGGAAGGAAGCGACGGAAATTGAATCATATTGAATCAGTTTTTCATCACAGGAGATCTACACGATGGCCTACTACATGGACGAACAATTGCTGGTGGATACAGGGCCTCCCATCTGAATTGAGTGCAAGACACCTTGAGTGCCGTTGAGCCCTTGTTTGTAGCTTGTGTATCCTGCCAGCTCCTGCCAGGATGATCAACTGTGTAATCATCTCCTGTGCATCTGCGAAGACAGCCCTGGCCCTCGCCTTCTGCTTGCGAATGCGAGACATGAGGCGACAGCGGAGAAATGCTGTGTAGCCATATCATCCAATTTGCTCTTTCTATTCCGTCTATCCATTATAAGAAACTTCAGGAATAGAATTATATGAAGCTTCTTTAATTCTGTTTATTTTAAGAAACCTCAGGAAAGGCCTTGAACACTCGATCTATTCCATTCTATTCCATTATCCCGGCAAGAGACCCCAAACAGTGTGTGTGAGGTCTAGAGGTGTAGCAGCAGAAAGTCTAAAGATCTAGACGCATTGGGGTCCAGAGAGGTGATGGTGGTGATGAAGGTGGAGATCGTGGTGCTGGTGCTGGTGCTGGTGGTGGTGGTGGTGGTGGTGGTGGTGGTGCAGTTCAAAATCCACAAAGTACAGTGCCTGCCACGAAATCTGCACTTCAAGGTCCACAAAGTACTGCACCTGCCACAAAGTGTGCACTTCAAGGTCGACAAAATACTGCACCTGCCACGAAAAGTGCACTTCAAGGTCCACAAAGTACTGCACCTGCCATGAAGTCTGCACTTCAAGGTCCACACAGTACTGCGCCTGCCACGAAATCTACACATCGAAGTAACACCGCTCCAATCCCTTGTACTGTACCTGTCACGAAAAGTCGACTGTGGACCACCAAAGCACGAGGTCTGCCACGAAAAGTGACCACGATCCGCAACAAGAGCGCAGTCACGACAAGCACCCGCTCCGGCCACCCAGATTTTGTGAGCCTGCGCAGTCGAAGTGCACTTCGAGGATTTCGAAAGGCATGAATGCACTGTAAGTAGCAACGAAATCGCTGGACGCCCCGATGCAACACCTCGATTAAGCGCCGCCACTTAACCACTACCGTAAGAACCCCTAGTGTGACGACACTGCTTGGGGAGTCTCTTAAAAACACGCGCAAAAGAACACATTTGTGTTTCGAGTTCCTTGAGTCGAGGTACGTCTTCGGCCTCACCTCCAAGGCACTGAAAATCAGTTCTTCTTGTGGCAGGAAAGGTGTTGAGTTCGTACCACTCATAGTAAGTGTGGCCGTTTCTTTGGCGTTGAGATTATTCGAACTTATGTATATATATATATATTTATTATATGTACATATACTGTATATAATATATATATATTACTATATATATATCTTAAATATCACTTCGTTTTGAACTCGGGGCAGAGGTGAGAGAGGGCTTGTGCCGGTGCCTATCTCAATATGTTTCCTTAACAATGACCCTGAGTCTCCAGCGATCTTGGGGAGAAGCAGGACAAAATATCAGTGCTGCTTGGAATCCAGAAATCAGTTACTGCCGGTGGATATCTCAGTAGCTCCAACAGCCGTACACACAAGTTCAATGGGATCAGACGGGTTTCGTGAATTGTGACAGCACGACCATGTTGGCAGGATCATCTCGACTTTGCCCGTTCAACTGACTTGTTCCATGAGGCGTGAATCCATGGGTGCAATCTACGCATTCAGTGATTACGCATGAACTCCATTCTATTTCATCATAGTGCATCCATGCAAGTGCAGGGAAAGGTTGTGCAAACCCTTGCAGGTGTTTTCGTATGACAACGTGGCATCTTTGCCGAACAACCATACGGTAGTGCAGTACTTAGTTGCTGTCACAGAATTCTGACTCGACTCCAAATAACCAATCGATGCAAATGCGGATCACGATAAGGTCTACATGGACTTCAAATGCGACGGGGAGCTCAGACAGCAGATCACCTTGAGGACTGAGGAGGTTTGGCATTGTATTTGCGGCACCTAGCAGTGATGAATGTGTGTGTTGTAGAGATTTATGGCGCCGCATGTGCTGCATGCTTCTAGTGTTCAGTAGTCTTGCCAACAGCCAACAGCAAGACGCCAAACACTGAAAGACCAGATGTTCCAAACAAAAGAAGCCTAAGCTAGCACCTAGCCTTTCTTTGAACAGTTTGCTCGATCAGAATGTCATATTATATGCTATCATACATAGTAGTAATATGCACCATTACTACTGTGCTCCTTAAGCCCCCTGACCACGCCAGCGCTTTCGTCTGCAGGATGGGAACAAACTTGATGTATAATATGGTCGCGCAGTCAGTGCTAACAAACAATACTACGAACTGCTTAGACCCTTCTGGAAAGCTCAGGTGGTTGGACCAGCTGTTTTCCAGAAGAAGATGAAGGATTCTTTGACACTGTGGCTCAGAAGCTTGAAAGGAATCAGATGCTTGAACTAGCTGATGGCTTGATGTGCAGGATCAACTCTTTGAAAAACGAGCTAGAGAAGTCTTGTTCGATGAGTCTTCCTGGAGGGAGCGCCGTCGGTTGGTGGCAGAGGTGGCGGGAAGCGATACTTTTCAAGTAACACTTTTGCCGCACTGCCGCAGGTCACCAAGACCGGACGGAATGAGAAGCTGAAGTACTCCTACCAGGCATGGAGTGAAGGCTGTGACTTTGAGTAGTCTCTTTGAGGCATCTTTTTTAAAAAACTGCACAGGCCTTTATTGAGAGGATGAAGAAGATTATCACAGCATCTTGGTTTTTGAAAGGCTGTCCAGACTTCCTTCGGCCGAAGGGGTGGGCTTATTTAGAGTTTTTGTTTGAGAATTCTGTTCAGGTCAAGCACATCAACGGGGTCGATGGTTTTGTTGAGATGTACGATGCGTTGTACAGCAATGCTGCTGAGCTGCATTGCAATGGGACACTTTGGAGACCTGATTCTGTGAGCGAGCAGCGTAATCTGGTGAAGCGGTTGAACTGGCGGTGTTTTTGCAGATGTGTTCGTTGTAAAAGCCAAACCGAAGATCTTGTAGGCAAGCGGCAAGACCTTCCAGTAGCAAAGGGGAAGTAGAGAAAGCTAGTTCTGCAAGACACTGCACACCTTTCACACTGACAATTCTTGTAAATCACTGATGTTTGTCGTATTCTCTATTTTGGGGGACTACTATCAGTCAATCACTGCTGCGCTTGGTCGCTTGGTGATTTTTGCAAACGCTTTCATTCAAAGGACACGTTGACAAGTTAGTTCTTTGCATGTCCTGATAGCCTCACGACACGGGAGCCAGGCTTCATCACCAGCTGATGTGCATGCGGGCTCCTTATACTCATAGAAGCTGCGCAATGGTCCTTGAAACAATCCGTCGTCAGGATCCAACATCATTTTTTCTGCTGAGGTCTGTTCCTTCCATGCAGACGACGTGGATGAGATTTGGAAAGCCTAGCTAAAAAGTTTGCACGATGGGGATAAAGGGATGGCCTTGGCAAGAAAGTCCAAGGGGCTACCTTGAGTTTATTTTACCAAGCAAGAGTTTTTTAGTTCGGTAGCTAAGTGTCAGGTTCAGTTCCCCCCGCTTGGGATATAAGGCTTGACTCCTTCATGGAATTGGGCACCAGCTTGAGAAACTTTCAGCAAAGTATAGTATAGTTCGTGGTTTTCGTGCGCATATGAACTCACAAGGCTGTGAATGCGGCGGTGCCAACGTGTCATGTCTCAATCTTTCGTGATTCAAGCTGAGTTCTTGGTTTTGTGAGTTCATGCTCCGCTCTCGTTGGCTATGGATTGACGTGTGCATGGATTGGTCCATGCACCAAGAAAGGAATCGGCTGCTGATGATGCCGTCGCCCCGAAGCCGACTTTGAGAAAATAGCTGTTGGGAATGTCACTTCCAAAAGATTCTGGAGGTCGGTGCGCAACGGAGATTGTTCTCTCAGCGCAAGCTCTGCGGAAAGTGTCAGGGTCTCTTCTTTGGGCAGAAGACCTGGTCCTGGTCACTTGGTGATACAAACTGAAATCGCTGCAAGAGCAGTGGCAGAAGTCAATGAGGCTTCAGAAAAGGAACGGCCTTGTTGCTTTGAAGGTCCGAAGGCCCTCAATGCAAAAGGTTTGTGCTAATTTCGATGGGCCAGCCAACCATCACTGTTCTTTTCCATGATGCAATTAGGGATAAGCTAGGTTTTTCTTTCAGGCACAACTCAGAGCCCTGACTGTCAGTTTTTATATGTTTTTATTATGATTATCATGTTGACGTTCTCAGGCGTGCAGACTGGAACGTATGCCTGGGATGACTCAGTTCAGTGGCCCTTGCAAAATGAAATAAGAAAGATGGTCCCCTTCTTCCTCGCTCTCATCCATGGTCCATGTTTGTTCTTATCCTGTTTTTCCACTTTCAACCCACTAATCACGAAAGCTAGCACCAGCTAGCTGGAGTTGTCCTTGCTTTAGCAAGTGAGGGGCTGGAATCCTCGGGATCGCCGCATCACGTGAAAACTTCATCCACTTTGGCTTAACTCCTCCGGGATACGGTGCAACAGATTCAACAAGCTCACATGTTCATGACATCGACATCGATAGAAGAAACCAAACAAATCATGCAAGCAACTTTGTTTTGCCTTTGGGACACCTCTTGGGCACCTCTTATGGCATCCACACTGGTTCAACTCCTCCGTGGAGGGTTTGGGAGTTGGTGCAACAGATTCAACAAGCTCACAGGTTCGTGAACACATCGGATGCATCGAACAGTGTGGCAAAGTCCAGCCACGCTTCCTTAATTATCGGAGACTTCAATTCTAAGGTTGGCTGTGTCATTGCTGTTTGTGTGTCTTACATGTTCACAACGTTTTACCTCATGAGCATTTGCCTCACTCCGCTTGATGTCCCACCAGTCCGGATGCACCCCTGCTAGCTTTCGTCACCTACCCTCGGCCTCAAGTTAGTACTGATGCCCTCAGCCTTCTGGCCACCTTTCGCTCATTCCTGCATGTCTTGAAGTTTTGCTCAGGAGAGTGTAGGAGTGGTTTAGGAGATGGAAACCCAAAGTTGGACTTTTGCTGCGTCGCGTGGGTGTCGACAGCCGGTCGCGGCTTTTGAATGCTTTCCGCCAAATTCAATTCCCCAAAGACCCAAGCACCAAGGGTTTTCAGCCCTGAATGGATGCATTGGCAGCGGGCTGGTGTTAGGACTGACTAGCCTCACCAAGTTGAACAGCATAGCAACATCACGCCGACACTCCGGCAATCAGTGTGTGCGTGGTTTACGCACATGTCATCACGGGCTGAAGGAGGAGTGTTCCACAGACATGCTTCATAGGCCTTTGGAGGGACTATCTCGTTTGGCTCTTTTGTCTTGGTCATTGAATATCTTCGAGGTAGCGAACAAGGACTTTTTCAAAGGAAGACTTGAAGCAGCCAACATCACAATAGATGAAACCTGGCATTCTCGTGGTGGTGCTGGTGGGGCGCATGTGAGCACAAACCGTATTGTCTTGGACCCGTCTGTTCACACATGCTGCGGAGACCTTTGTGGAACTCTGCTTCACGAAATGCTCCACCTCCAAGTAGGCGAGGATGATGGAGAAGAGCATGGTCCTAGGTTCTTGAAGGCATGCTTGGAGCTAAACAATGACTTGCTCGCCTCTGGCACTGGGTTGTTTTGTCGCTTGGGTGAATTTGATACAGCGTTGGACCAGCGCTTGCTTCTTGAAGCCGGGGTACCTCAAGCCGTGTCCGCTGCCCTGCTCAAGGGCCTTCGAGAATCTGGTGAAACGTGGGATTCTGGCCTCCTTGCCAGTGATCTTTTTACATTGTACCACAACTCAGGCTCAACACATATCATCAAGGAGGATATTTTGTACCTTGCAGCGAGACTGAGATGCTTGTCCATTGCAAACTCTTGCCAGATAGCTCTGAAAACAGGCTACACAAGCTGGTCATTGAAAAGCCGTACCATCGCGCGGCACTTTGCGGTGGCCCAAGGCAGAGACTATCATTGCTACTCAGACTACAATGCTCTCTGGTCTGTGTGACAACTGCAAACGCCTGGGTTAGCAGACTTGGCACCACCATCCCTGTCACAACAAGGCTCACGAACGTGCAGAGGACAAGTTTGTGGCGGACGCGGATACGTCACATCCTTCACGCACAGAACCTGGCCTCTTGGGCATTTCCAGGTGACTGAGCTGTGAGACAAAGTGAGGCCGCTCCGCTTGCGCGACTTTGCCTGACTTGTCTTGGCACTTGACTTGCAAGGCAGCCTTTGTATTCAATGTTTTGATTCTGAATCTCAGAATATCATACTTGCTGCGGCAATTGCATACCTATGTCGATGAGAGATTGAAAAGATATGCTTGCAGCTTGCAGCTTGCAGCTTTCTTGGTTTGCAGTATCCGGACATCGTGGATGCGGGAACGTTTGGGGAAGGTAGGAGTTCAAATCTGCTAACCAAACTGCACCTGCAGCTCTATAGCTCGAAGCCAGTAAGAGAAGGGAAGAGCTCAAGAGCAAAAGCAATGTCGCAGGTACGCATGGGATTTACATTTCTATGCAGGCTTTGCAGGGCTAGTAGGTTGGAGGCCATCGCTACTAGGTTAGAGGCCATCGCTAGTAGAATGGAGGCCATCGCTATTAGGTTGGAGGCAACAGCTATTGGGTTGGAGGCCATTGTTAGGTTGGAGGCCATCGCTATTAGGTTGGAGCCATCGCTATTAGGTTGGAGGCCATTGTTATTTGGCTGGAGGCCATTGCTATTAGGTTGGAGGCCATTGTTAGGTTGGAGGCCATTGCTGTACATAAGGTTGGAGGCCATCGC